AGTGCCCTGCCAGCCTCACCTCGGTCTTGCAACACAGGCCCAGGTGACTTCCTTTCCTTCAGAGGCCTTAGACCACGTAAGCCAGGCAGTTAACGTGAGATGACCCTTTATCAAAAGGAAATCTAGTGATATCACAGTGAAGCCCACACCAAAGGCCATCATTTTAAACATTTTCCTTCTTCCAAAGTTTATTTGAAAGAGGTACTCTGAGGAAAAGCTCATTTCCTCAAAATATCAAAAAACTGAAAACCAAAAAATGATAGTTTTTCTGGAGACAGACTGCAAAGTGTACAAATAAATATCACAAAGAATTCATTTCTGCTACGGTTGCTCACCACTCTCAAAATTACATTTAGTTAACTTAATTTTCCAGAGATCAAATTTATTCAAAGTTAAATTTCTCTTAATAGATCATTTGGGTAAACAAATTTAAGTGTTATTTGCCAAAAAAAAAAAAACAATGTATTTCCAGGGTTCAGATGAAATCGGCAGTGTCAGGCTAAGAAAACAACCTTAAATATTCACAGAGAGCTGAAAAAACTGCAGAAAAATTGGAACTTGGAGGTCAATCTTTTTCACACCATTCTGGAGACACAAAAAATCACAAATTTCCACCAGTACCAGGTCTTTGAAGTGCTGAGAAAGAATGCCATTAAAAAAAATCCAAATTCCTTGAACTTTTTAAGTGAACAGATATGATGCTGCTGGGGGCGGGGTAGGAACTGGTAAAGGGACACGAAAATCAACTACATTGTATATTGACAAAATAAAAAATAAAAAAAATTTTTAAAAATCCAAAATGCATAAAGCAATATATCTTTAAAGTAGCAGCTGTCATAGGAAGAGGGTCTAATCTCAGCTGTTACTACACCAGTCACAGACACACATAGCACATGAAGGGCACCGTGCACCCTGGGCTTCCCCTAGCCCACAAACTGGGTGCCCTGGGCTCTGGTTTTTGGAGAGAGAAGGGGTGGGGAGAGGGACATGGAGGTGGTAAGAGAGAGAGAAAAGGGGAAAGGGAGAGGGACAGAGGAAGAAAAAGAAGGGTTAAGGTATGGCACGGAATTTTGCAAAGTAAAGTAGTTATTAAGGAAAGTGGCAGGGTGTCTTGGGGTGGAAGTTTTTGTGAATCTATTCTTGAAATTTCTTGGAACTGCTGGATTTGTGAAGTGGATGGGATAAAGTAGTTGAAGGTCTATTTCATAGATGAGGAAATGGGCCTCTAAGGAGCAAATCAACCTCATATCCCCGCAGAGACTAGCACCAGAATAGAGGTGACTCCATCTCCAGCCCCTGAATCTGTAACCTTACTCTAATAGCATCTAAAGCCAGGGGTTCTGAGAACACAGTCTGAGAAGCCCTGTGACATCACAAGTGGCAACTAGGAGTACTTTATGACAGATGCCAAATTAACTCTAGCCTGTGACCTTGGCACCATTACTCACATGGCCAGGGCACACACACTGCCATCCCAAATGCCCAAGTTCCTATGTAAATAATCACCCATCCAAGCACAGGGGACCCTGATCCATCGTCCTCATAAAGTCCACTGCTGCTGCTGACGTCATCACAAATGGGAAGGGAAGGAGTCCAGAAGCCCCAGGGCTCACTTCCTCACCCCTACATTAAGACTTCGGAGAGGAAACACCACTATACTGACAAAGCACATGTCATATTCATCGCGTATGAGGCCTCTTAAGGGAAACTGGGTGACCTTCTGTGAATGAAGCTGCCCTTGGCTCACTCCAGTTCTGCCCTTTCACCCCACCACAGGTCAGAGGTAGATAACACGAATACTATTAACACTCTAATTCTAAATCAAGACCTTAGGAGTGCTCTGGATCTCAATCACTTTTCATAAATATTGATTCGGTTGAGACTGAGAAGCAGACTTCCAACAGCATCTGGAAAGGGCACTGAGATGACTGGGGGTAGTGTGTGCACGGCAAGGTCCAGATCACAGTGTTGTCAGAAGCATGGTTCGGCACAGGCAGTGGCTCATCCTAGGCACGGGGTCTTCAGAGCTTATCTGTGTGAGAAGACCGTGCTTGAGCCTCCTTGTCCAGCTGACTGACAGCTCTAGACCTGGGCCACCTGAGGGTGTGGCCTGTTGACAGGACCAGACGGACGTATCTGCCTGTTCCTGTGGGCACCAGCTGGAGAATTTGCTCTAGGAGTCTTGCACTGTGACCCACCCGTAACGGGGAGATGGGCGCCCCCAGCAGACAGTGGGCAGTCATGAGCGAGCTCTGACTGCGAGGGGTTGACCCTGGGGTTGACTAAGCTGTGCGTACGCTACCACTCCACTGTCATTTCTCACAGCAGTCCTGAAAGGTCAGAGTCATATCTCAGTTTCACAGAGAAATGGACAGAGGATTAGGGAGCCTATTTTGCCCAAAGCCCACAGCTTCTCAGCTGCGATTTAAAACCAGGTGAAGGTGACTCCAAGACCCAGGTTAGAGATGGGGCTCTCTGATTTACATGTCCTCGGGATGTTTGCAACTGAATTGGAAAGAAAGGAGATATGTCCAAACACAGTCAGAAGTTCTAGACCAGCCTGTCCAATTGACCTCTCTGTGATGATGGAAATGTTCTATAATCTGTCCAATTATGGCAGCCACTAGCCACATGTAGCTATTGGGTTTTCGATACATGGATAGTGCAACTGAGAATCTGAATTTTTAATTTTATTTAACTTGAATTCATTTGAATTGAAATATCATCTTTGAATATTCATATTACACAATGCAGTTTGAGACATTTTATACCAAAAGCATTCAGAGAACAGAGTGGTCACTGCGGTCTATGGCAGTCCAGGCAGGCTTCGTGAAGGACACAGGCTCTGAGCCAGCCCTTGATGTATTGGATTTGAACAGGACTCTTCCTGTTTCAGGCATGATCCTCTTCCCTGTCAGCTCAGACCTGGGCCACCTGAGGGTGTGGCCTGGAATCAAGGGCCCTAGAAATCAAGCTCATCAGTCCCTTTGGTCTACAAATGAGGAAATCAAGAATGTCCCTCCTGGTCCCGTGTTCTTTTTGGACCTGTTGTACACAGCCTGACTGAGTTCTCTTTCCCCTCCTCCCATTTTCCTTCTGAAGCTTTCTTCCCATCTCTTTCCCTGAGGTCTCCCGGCCAGTGCTGGGTTTGTGCTTTTTGCATCAACCTGGACATTTTCTTTTCTACCTAGGAAGCTGAGTCACTTCCTCTCTTGGACTGGCTTTCAATGCACTTTATGTTTCTATACCCATCACTTTGAGGAACGAATTTCCAAATGGAATGAGCAATGCCACTCACAGAGAGACCAACCACCCTCCCCCGAAACACAACCTCAACAACAGGCAGCAGAAACCCTCCATCCCCGCCAGCCCTGTGTGTGGCTGAACCCAGCACTCAGAGCTGGTCACCGTATTGTATCTAACTCCATTCTTTCCCGTACCAAAATTGACAACTGGGCTACTACTGTATTTCTGTCCTCTAACATCCCAGTTACCAGCAGCCTAGTAGCTGGAGACAGATGTTGAAAAATACTTGACTACAAGACCAGATCAGGAGACAGGGTTCTTGGCACAAAACCTGCTCCATCCTGTCAAGCCCTTTCAGGCCAGTCCGTGGTATATTCTTAGAACACACACGGCTCTGTCCCCTCAGCTGGGGAGTTCAAACCCTTCATGGTCTTTTTCAATTCCAGCTCGTGTAGCAGCCCACGTGCTTCACCAACCTTCGAGAAAGTTCCTTGTGAGCATTTAATAACAGCCACAGTAAACCTTGAATTCTCCAGCTTGAGGAATAGAGATCACGTAGGTTTTTTGGGGGAAGGGGATAACCTATTTTTAATTCTTTCTGGCTTTGCTTGGGAGCTGATTATTAAGATCTCAGCATGGGTGGGCACTTTTACCCACCTTCCCAAAAAAGAGCAGACACACAACCTCTTGAAACACGTTTTGTACTCAAAGGTCTATGGTTCTTTGGGCTACAGTAAAGGTTGCTTATGTCCTCCCATGATGACACTGAAAATGAGATTGGCCTTTCCATGTGGGATCAACATGTCCTTGAACTCCTGAGCCCTTGAAAGGGGCACACATGAGGCCTAAGTCCCCACCATGCAAGGAAGGAAGTCCCAGAGAGCTGTGAAGTCCAAGTCGGGGTGGCAAAGTATGGCCACAGACCTGCTCTAGGCCACAGCCTGTTTCTGTACAGTGTGTGAGCTGAGAATGGTTTTCAAATTTTTGAAGTGTTGTAAAGAAATTGTTTTTAAAAGAACATACTACAGAGACTATATATGGACTGCAAAACCTAAAATATTTGCAATCCAGCCCTTTCCAGAACAAGTTTGCCAACCATTGGTCTAAACTATCAGGGACCTCATCCCTCCAGAGGGGAACGTGTCGTTTCCCTGAGTCTGGGTCCTGATCATTGCTGGTGCCCTTTGATCCCCTTTGTGGCTGTTTTCTCTTTCAGTTTAGTAATATCGCAGGTGCAGTGCTCCATATGTCTTCCTGAGGAAAGGCACAATATACATCAAATATAACTGAAAGATGAATATTTACTTCTTCCAAGAAGATCAATGTCATGGGAGGGGATCTGGCCCAAACTCTGTGTCTTTAGTGTTACAGAAACATGGATCCTGATTAAAAACCAGCCAGAGAGGCTCCCAGGGCCCAAAGCCAAGGCGGCCACAGAACACCCTCACTCATCCTATGCCTGATTCAGTTTCTCATTTGCCAGCACCAGCCTCCACATTTGACACCTGTACAGAATCAGGAGAATCACTGTCTCTCACTTACCTTGTCTCCAACTCCACTAGAAAAAGAACACAAAGGTAGCAATACACTTTAATAATCCCTTAGGATCTCACCTTTGAGTTTCTTAGACACGTGCCCTAAATGTCCTTAAAGTCCCTCTGGACTAAAATTTAAAGAAAAAACATGGCACCTGGCTCTTCCCCAGCCATAAGCAGAGAGCATGGTGACCACTGCCCCATGAGCCACGCTGTTACCTGGTTCAGTGCAGTTCTTGCTGCTCCGGAGCCCTGCATCTTCAGAAGTCAGAGTGTCGTTCACCTGCATTAGCTTCCTCCCCACCATCCACTTTCTGTCTTCTCCTATGAGGTCCATGAGGTCGAGCTCTGGGGAGAAAAAGACAATAACCACAATCACTAATGGCTGGGTTTCAGCCTTGGCCAGTGCTGGTGCTCAGGGTCTTAATCAGCCGTTCTGCACTCAGCCCTGCCTTTACTGCCTGAGGGCTTCCTCTGGCTGCTGGATCCTACTGGGCCCAACAGAGGCAGCCCTCAGCCAATGACTGCTATGAATCGTTGTATAAAGACCTTGCCGCTTGAGTGGGATGACTTTGAGGTGTGTATTCTAAACTGGATTTCAGCATTCTCCCCAGTGGGATTAAGCTCCAGTTGTCTCCAGTGTAACTCTCTTGATAAAGCACTCTTTATTAGCTGCTGTCTCCTCCCTGTTTCAATTCTCTGCTCCCAATGACACACTGAGAAATGTTTAACAACCAACTCACTGAGGGGTGGGGAGAGTCCTGATCTGTAGTCATTGGCCAATTTTCCTGATGTCAACACTCCCATCATAGCAAACTTCAAGCTACCAACATGGGATCATTGAAAGCGGAACTGGAAAGATGGGCACAATCAGCTCCTCTAAGTCAGTATGAACTGGCTCCATCCCACCAGCGTCCACGCCCCCCCCCCCCACTGGTATTTCCTTGAACCACCTTCCAAATAAACTGCCTGCAACTGAACAGGTGCTCAGGATCTGCTTTGTGGCGGTTACCCAAGTTAAGACACCAATTCAACAGCCCCAAAGTGTGGCCAGTGAGTGCCACACAGAAAATTTTCAGCAAACAAGAGATGAAGGAATGAACCAGGAAAAAGTAGACCACAGAATGCATGTTAGGGGTGAGCAAAGACAGTGCTCGGGTCCCTGACTGAGATGGCTGTGGGGATAGAAGTGTCAGGAAAGGGAACACAGACCAAAGAGCACATGAGAGGGGGGAATGTGGTACATTCTCTTTAGGACACGTTGAGTTGGAGTGTCTGCGGAGCATCGAAAGGGAGGTATGCTGCCTGTGTAAAGAGGGCTGGAGGGCCGGCCCGGTGGCGCACTGCTACAGTGCACCGCTTGGGAGTGCGGTGGCGCTCCCACCGAGGGTTCGGATCCCACATACAGACCGGTTCCCGCTCACTGGCTGAGCGAGGTGCGGGAGCAACACCGAGGGTTGCAATCCCGTTGCCGGTCCTGGTCCGGTATGGGCACGACACTGAGGGTTGCGATCCGTTGCCGGTCACGAAAAAAGACAAAAAGACAAAAAAAAAAAAAAAAAAAAAAAAATGGCGGGAGATGCCTCAGGGGAGAAGAGCTGAGCATCAGGAGAGTCACAGCAAACAGGGATGTGCTACAGACATATGCAAGGATAGGGTCTCCTAGAGCGAAAGGGGGTACTGAAGAGAAGGAATGGAACCCAACCTTCCTCCAGAGAGTAAAAGAATTAATTCAGCAAAGGATCATGAAAGAGAGGAAAGGAGCAAGGGAAAATGGTGTCATGGACGGTAAGCAGAAAGAGAATTTCAAGAAAGAAAGAGCAGCCAATAGCCTTGACCACCATGGACAGATCAAGCAAGACGACAGCAGAGAAAGGACAGAGCTTGATGTCAGGGCATCAAAGGGAGGGGGAGACACAACCCAAGAAGGCTCTGTCCAGGGGCTTGGGACTACAGAAGGAAGTGACAAGAGGCAATGGCCACCTATTGAGTGGCCAGATGGCTGTGGTCAGAAAAGGGATCTAAATGCAAGGAAAGGGCCTATCCCATGGGCCCAGGGGCCTTCACAAGAGCCCACAGGGCAACCCAGCCACATTGATGACATGTTCGGAAACAGTCAACGAGGAGCTGAAGGGCTGCATGCCCACTTCTCTGTTGCTGTGGTGATTCAGTTTCCCAAACGATTTTACCTCCATTATTGAATTTGACCTTCGTGACACTGCTCAAGAAGGAAAGGCCGAGCATGGACTTTGTCTCTACAACACCTAATCTCTGCTGGCTCAGAGTAGATGCTTGGCAAGTGCAAGCTGAAATAATCATTCCCATTTTATAGACAGGTAAAGTGAGACTCCCAGAAGTTTCTGGCACCTCACCTAAGCCTACAGGGCACACATGATAGCAGCACCTCATGCATTGAGGTCTTCCTCAGTCAAACAAAGCCTCCGAATTCAGATGTAAAATTATCAAAATATCTAATGACAACATATACATATTAGACAGGACAGCCTCTCACGTTTTTCTCAAAAAAAAAAAAAAAAGGGCAGTGTGTGAAGCCTGACTAGAATAAACAATAATCTGGGCCGGCCCGGTGGCGCACTGGATAAGTGCGCCGCTTGAGAAGCGCGGCAGCGCTCCCGCCCAAGGGTTCGGATCCCACGTACAGACAGGTTCCCTCTCACTGGCTGAGCGAGGCGCGGGAGCAGCACTGAGGGTTGCAATCCCGTTGCCGGTCCCCAGTCCGGTACGGGGGCGACACTGAGGGTTGCGATCTGTTGCTGGACACGGAAAATGATAAAAGACAAAAAAAAAAAAAAAAAAGAATAAACAATAATCTTAGACTCTGAAATACAAAAACCTACATGGTAGCCACATATATCAGTTTACCCAAAATTGTGAGGACGATACCAAAGTTAATTCAAGGTGAAAGCAAGGCAGTTGTTGAGTTTGGTTAACCTGAATGGTTGATTCTTTTGATAAAGAATGGTGACAAGCAGAGAAAAAAATTTTAAAAACTGAAGAAAGAACAATAAGGTCAGTGGCCTTCAACTCCAACAAGCAGCCCTAGGGTGTGAACAGAGCACCGTGTTATCATAACTGATCCAGAAGTGTGAAGAAAAGCACCCTATGTCTAAGTCTGGTTCCTCCAAAGGCAAGCTGTACAAGGAAGATTCCAGTACAAGTGGTTTGTATGGGAGGTGGCCCCAGGAAGAGCCAGTGGGGGAGTAGGGAAGCGGGACAGAGAAGAGGAGCTGGCCAGCAGAGTGTGCATCAAGCCAGATGCCAAAATAAGTAATTAGAACTTGAGGCCTCTGGAAACCTCTGTGGGCCAGTGCAGACATGCATCTCACACATCCAAGGCGTGACGGAGCTTGGGTATTTATCTACCCACTCCTGGTCTGCATTGGTTAAAGGCTATTGGAAGGGAACACTAATTCCAATCTGCCACATGGGTGTCCAGGGTGGGCTCTGGTGCCCAGCAAAAGGCTATGGACAAAAAGATGCAGGTGCTAGTAGCTGGACTGTGCCAGTGTGCACAGAGGTAGGAATGAAGTGACACAGACAGCACCGTGGCATCTGCAGCTGCAAGGCATCTAAAGAGCATCGTGCTATGGTCAGCAGACTGGTCACTCCGCTATTCTCATAATCTGGGTCCGAGGAAGATGCCTTGCGGTAACGCAATCCTAACATTCAGAAAGACCACGAAGATGTGCAAAGAAACAAGAGTATCCCTCACAGTGACTTGCAAAGTTCTTTTCTATGCCAAGTTTCCATAGCTCTGTAATTCTGGGAGAAAAGCTGATACCAATTAAGAGATGTAAAAATAAAGCTAGCTATTGTAGCAGAAAATCAGAGGATTTTTTACATAATAATTCAATATCTTCAGGAATTACAGACTATTAAGGCAGTACCTCTTGATTCCAAAATCTACAAATTTTTTTCTCCACAAAACTATGTTTGACCACTGACCACTGACCACTGATGCAGCAGCACTCAGACCAGAGTCTGAGAAAGTAAGACTCATGAGAGCAAGGCCTTCCCACCGAGGACCAGGTTGACAGTATTATTTCCCTGCTCATTCGTCCTCGCAAAACTCCTGGTGAGGTAGGGATAGGTGGTTGGTTCTGGGGTCAACTTACATTTGGAGTAAATAAGTAAGAGTGCAAATGATTTGCCTAAGATCAGAGCCAACCCATGGCCACGTCAACTACCACGTAATAGTTATCATGGCTTCCATTTACTGAGTGCCTATTCTGTGCTAAGAATGTTCCATGCTTCACCATGTTTTATTTTTACAACAGTCCCTACATGGAAACATTAGCTCTATTTTGCAAATAAGGAAACTGAAGCACAGAGAGGTTAAATTACTTGTCCAAGGTCACACAGCAAACAAGTAGCAGAATGGGGATTGGAACCCAGGTCTACTGACCACAAAGGCCAAATTGTTGATAGATCCCTCGGTAAGATGAAATCCATCCTGGCTGTATTATACAGCTGTAGTAAGGTAGATAGATAACACAGCCTGCCCCTTATAACAGGCTAGGGGTGAAGACTGTCTCACTGGACCTATTTCAGAGATGGTTGTTTCCTCAGAAACTATTAGGAAGAGCAATGAGGCATGAGTATCACTCATGAAAGCATCACCAATGAAAGAATAAGACAGTTCTAAAACCCCATTCCATGCAAAGCACTCTGATCACTGCTGATTTCCTAGAGACTAAGCTGGTCCTATCGGCCATGACATAGAAGGTTATATTCTTGCATTTAGGGAGGAGGGGAGGAGCAGTGGGGAAGGCCTGGAGGGTGGAGAGGTGAAGGGGATACAGAGAGGTGTTCACACGTGCCCTTTTCACTGCTCTCCCCTCACTGACCTCCCCAGCTTCCTTGGACTTCTCTGCTACGGCAGAGAGGCCGCTGTGCAAAGCTACACTTGAGCAGCATCAACAAAAACACTCGGCCCCTGTAAACTGCATTCCTGGCTCCGCATCGGTCAGGCCCTGGAAGTTACATGTTGGCCTAATTAGTCGGGGAGGGGATGGGAGGCAAAGAGGGAGGCAGCAGCTCACATGTCACCAGCAGAGGCAGCCTGTGTGACTGCAGCTTGAGGAAGGGGAATAGGAGGGGGCCATGGGGACAGGGCAGGCGCCTGCCGGAAGGGGAGGAAGCCCAGTTTTTAACCCAGGACTTGCATGTGCTAAGGAAGGATGGAGAGTGGAGGCCGGATGCCAAGTTTCCATTACAGAGCTGTGTGCTCACCCTTTCATGCTCCAAGGAGAGCTCACTCTCTCCTCCTCCTCCTCCTCTTCCTCCTCTCTGTGACTGGGGCTTAGACGGCACATTCTG